CAGATTATCTCAGTCCTCTTCACAACTTTACAAGGTAGGTGCTAATGTAATCCACATTTTACCAACAAGGAAGCTGAGGCACAGAGAGGGCAAGGAGCTTGTCCAAAGTCACACAGCTAAGAAGCAGTCAGAGGAGGGTCTGACTCAGTGGTTTGGCACCTCTCCTGTGCTGTACACTTCAAAAGATGCTGTCACTCCCCCCATTCACAAAGTGGGAGATAGAGGGTCAAGATCAGCAGCCAAGAGTGGCCAGTATTGTGTTCCAAAGTCCGGGTGCTATACCGCCATCCCCACAGCCACGGCTTAGCCTGGGAGAGGCGACCTCTGGCTTGGGACAAGGAGGACCTAGATGTCACTCAAGCAGCTCAGACCAGTGTGGGAGGCAGGCTTGGTGCTCTGATCACATGATTCAGCGGGGCCAAGGCCCAGAGAGGCTAAATCACATCCAAGGTCATACATCGAGAGTCACAGCTGGGTTCTCTCCACCATGCCACCCAGCAATGGGAAGAGGGGCCCCTGGGCACTGCCCTCTCATGTTCTCCGGGAAGCTCCTGAAACCCCATTTCCTATGAGGCACATTTCAGGGAGAAGGGCAGCTTGGCAGAGCCAGCCGTATGAGGAGAACTCCACATAACAAAGTTCCTGCTGCCCCGAAACTGCCCAGGAGGCAACAGGGCCTCAGCGTTTCCAGCAGCTTCTCCTTCCAGGTTCCCACCCTCCAAAGGCCCTCCCCGCCCCACAGCATCTGAGTCAAGATTCCATGGCATCTGCTGGGTCAGGGTCTGTGGAGTGCCTGCCACTCTCCTCCCTTGCTCCTGATTCTGATTCTCAGCTCCCGCTGTTTTCCTCACACATGGCTGGGTCCAGGCATTGCATAGAGCAGAGCCTCCCTCCCTCCTCCCTACAGCAACCCTGCGGACCAGTGCACCTGGATGCTTCTCACTATATATGTGCGGAAACCAAGGTGCAGAGGCAAAGTAGAGGGCTCCCTCCTCAGCATCTCTCCGTGTGTTGTCGCCCCTGCCTGGAACTCCTCCTCCAGGTACCATCCATCTGGCTCCCACCATCATGTCCTTCAGGCCCCAGCTCAAATGTCACTTCAGAGAGCCCATCCCTGAACACCCACTCCAGTACTTTCTTTCCTGCACTGGTTTTTTCTTTCTTCTTTTTTTTGAGACTGAGTTTTGCTCTTGTGGCCCAGGCTGGAACGCAATGGCACAGTCTCAGCTCACCGCAACCTCCTGCCTCACAGGTTCAAGTGATTCTCCCACCTCAGCCTCCCGAGTAGCTGGGATTACAGGTATGCGCCACCACACCCGGCTAATTTTTTGTATTTTTAGTAGAGACGGGGTTTCTCCATGTTGGTCAGGCTGGTCTCGAACCCCTGACCTCAAATAATCCACCTGCCCCGACCTCCCAAAGTGCTGGGATTACAGGTGTAAGCCACCACACTGGTTGGTTTTCTTATTTATGGTGGGTTTTTTTTTTTTTTTTGAGACAGAGATTCGCTCTTGTTGCCCAGGCTAGAATACAATGGCATGATCTTGGCTCACTGCAACCTCCACCTCCCAGGTTCAAGCGATTTTCCTGCCCCAGCCTTCCTGAGTAGCTGGGATTACAGGTATGCGCCACCATGCCCAACTAATTTTTGTACTTTTAGTAGAGATGGGGTTTCTCCATGTTGGTCAGCTGGTATCAAACTCCCGACCTCAGGTAATCCACCCGCCTCAACCTCCCAAAGTGCTGAGATTACAGGCCTGAGCCACCGCGCCCAGCTCTTATTTATGGTTTTTATGTTTTCTGTCTCTCCCCCAGCAAGACTTCCCAAGGGTGGGGATCTGGTCTGTTTACTTGTTGCTAGATCCTTGAGGGCAGGGATCTAGGTCTGCCTCACCTTCCTCCACACTGAGCTGGAGCTGCCCACCCCCCTGCAGCCAGCACAGGGTGTTATACCCCTGAGGACCAGAGCCAGAATGTGCATGTGGAGTGACTGGAGCAACCAGAGCCGGCCCTAAATGCCTGCTGGGCGCAGAACACTACACCATGCACTTTCAATTCTGACTCCTCATTGGGCCTCTCTGAAGTAGGTACAGGTTGAGTCTCCCTTGTCCAAAATATTTGGGACCAGAAGTGTTTCAGATTTCAGATGTTTTCGGATTTTGGAATATGTGCATTATACCAATTCTATATATACATATACATTTTTTTTTTTGAGACAGAGTCTCACACTGTCGCCCAGGCTGGAGTGCAGTGGCGCTATCTCGGCTCAGTGCAAACTTTGTCTCCTGGGTTCAAGTGATTCTCCTACCTCAGCCTCCTGAGTAGCTGGGATTACAGGCGCCCGCCCAGCTGATTTTTTGTATTTTTAGTAGAGATGGGGTTTCTCCATGTTGGTCAGGCTGGTCTTGAATTCCCGACTTCAGATGATTCACCCGCCTCAGCCTCCCAAAGAACAGGGATTACAGGCGTGAGCCACTGCACCCAGCCCAAATTCAACATTTGTAATCCAAAAAATGCAAAATACTCCAATGGGCATTTCCTTGGATTGTAATGTTGGTGGTCAAAATGTTTCCAGTTTTGGAGTACTTAGATCATGCATTTTCGGATTAGGGATGCTCAACCTGTACTATTATTGGGACTGAGCTTCAGCCAAGTGAAGTCACAGAGTGAGTATGAGCTGGAGCCTGGGTTTGAACCCCGATTGGCCTAACTCCACAGTCCATGCTTGTCTCCTGAGGGTCAATTGTGAGATACCCTGAAAAACAGGGTAGGGACAGAATGAAAAAGGTAGGGTCGAAGCCCAGGGTGAGTTGGGAGCTCACCTGAATCTCCTCCAGGAAGAGGTTGGTCTCTACAAAGCGGTTGCTCATGAAGCCACCAGGTGCCCGGCAGTTCTGCAGGAAGCGGGCCGGGTTGGGACGCACCTTGGGGTTCGCTCCCACCAGCTCACAGTAATGGGGTACTAGTGATTTGGGGATCTGTAGGGGAGGGGTCAGTGTCAGGGCAGGGGTAGCCAGCTGGCAGAGGGGCCGAGGCAGGGCAAACAGCCAGGGGCAAGAAACTTACCTTCCCAGGGTTGCGTAGGGCTGCTGCCCGAGGTAGGGGCCCATTGAAGACTTCCCAGATGAGGCAGCCCAAGCGCCACATGTCTGCTGACCTGTGACAGTGACCCAGAGCTCTCAGGGCCCCACCAACCACCTGCACAGGCCTCCAGCCTGCCTTGGGCACCAGGCACTCATGGCATGCCAGGGCCTGGCAATGTCCCTCAGCTGAGCCATCAGTCCCAAGGGGCAGGTTTCATTAGCCTCACTTAACAGATTAAAAAAACCGAGGCTCAGAAAAGTAGGCACATCTGCCCAGGTCACAGAGCTTTCAAGTTCAGAATCACCCAACCCCGAAGGCTGCGTCCATCCTGCCCTACCACCCTGAGGACCCTGGGGGCAGAGGAGTGTCCCTCACTCCTGGGACACTGATTCCCTCCCCAGCCAGGCAGCAGGGAACAGGGGAGTACCAACTAGTCTAGGAGTCCTGAGGCTGCAGGGGCCTCCAGGACAGGGCAGCTTGGGGCGTGCTGCCCCTAGTCACCCACCACTTCTCTCTGACCACTCTGCCACTGCTGTCAGCCAACTCCGGGGGGTCATACTGCTCAAGCTCGGGGATCCCCTTGCGGGGAGGTCCCCCACCGTTGCCCTGGGCTGAATACATGTAGTCCAGACCCCCAAGCTTCCACTCGCCAGCTCGGTCCACGAACACGGCGGCCATGCAGACGTTGTTGTGGATGAGGCTGCAGTCGTTCACCAGGAAGCTGAGGGCTTTCTGGGGGCAGAAGGAGCCATCACGCCCCAGTACCTGCAACACCCCATCCCTGCTCTCATCACCACTGCCCCCCACCTCACCACAATCTGGTGTAGCCCCCAGGAGATCTCCAGCTCCTTCAGGCCACCAGCCTCCACTCTCGCCTTGAGGTATATTCCCAACGGAGTCACAGCCTCTGTCACGACGTGGAGACATTTTTCTGTCTGGGGAAGGGGACACGGTTATCAAGGGCAGAGAGGCAGAGAGGAAGGAGAGATAAGCGACTTGAAGTGGGGAGAGATGGGGAAGAGGAAACCAAATCTGGGGGTGCTGGGGCACATAGGGTGGAAACAGGGCAGGAAGGGAGACAGGAGTGGGTAACCAGGATATAGTGAGAGGCAGAGACGGGCAGGCAAGGCAGCGGGTACCTCCAGTCCATCGATGTAAGCCAGGATGTTGGGATGCCGTAGAGTTTTGAGGCGCTTGAAGGCAGCTTTGGCCACCTGGGTCTGCTCTTCCGCGCCAGGCTTCACATCATAGACGAAGATGGACACGAGACAGCCTGTGGCCTGGGGGAGGGCAGCGGGGCCTGAGATGGTCCCAGAGCTGTTGTGTTGCCGGAGACAAGGGCTGGCAGCCCAGGCTGTCCCAGGTCAGCCTTAGGGACACTTCGCCGGGCCCACGTGACCCCGGCCCTGTCCGCCTGTCGGTCCCTCGGTCCCTCCGCCCGCCACGTAGGCACTGCCCGCCCCCTCCCCGGCCCGCTACCCCGAGGCTCCGCCGCCACGTCAGGCCGGGCGCGACACGGCGGGGCCGGCGGCGCGGACTAGGCAAGGCCCAGGTCGGCCGCGGCCTACGGAGCTCGTTCGCACTCACCTTCTTCCGGCCACGGTGCAGGGCCCAGGGCCCGGGCGGGCCGCCCTCTGGGGGCTCCGGGATGAGCTCGAACGGAAAGTCCCGGACCGGGTCCCGAGCAAAGAACCACATCGTACCCACCGCCGCCGCGGGCTCGGGAGCCTTAGCTCCGGGTCCTCCGGCCTCCCGAGCCGGGGCTGGGCGGAGAGGGGGCGGGGCCTGCGTCGGATGGGGGCGGGGCGCGGGGGCGGGGTGGGGCAGAACCTGAGTTGGGGCTGGAAGGGGCGGGGCCAAGTGAGGGGCGGGAGAGGGGAGGGGACGGGACCTAGGGAAGGGTGGGGAGAGGCCGGGGCTAGTCCGGGGCGGCAGGCGGTACTAAGATCAGTACTCCGCCGCCGGGTAAGTCACTTAGAACCCTCCAAGCCTGTGAACCCTTAGGGGCGGGATAATAGAGCCTGCCTTCTAGCGTATTGTAAGAATGAGAGCTTTAGAAGGGACAGACGGATGGGGAAAACGAGGCAAAAAGGGGGAGAAGTAGGGAGACTGACACGCATGAGAGGGCGCAGTGAGGAGTGAGTCAGAGACCCAGAGAGGGAGACTGGCCCCACGCCAGACACTCTCTCCCACCAGCAAGTGGGTGCCTCCAAGCTGCGGGGAGGAGTCGGTACTGATGAAGTGACCAGGAGAGAAGCACGAGGAGACGCCCCAGAGAAAGAGCATGGTGAGAGGCAGAGAGTAAGGTTCCAAGGAGGTCCAGAACCCCGGGGTAGGGGCGGGCACCCAGGAAATGGAGGAAGGAGAGACTGAGGAGGGAAGAAGTGACTCCAGGGAAGGAGGGGTGGAGAAGGAGCAGCTGGGCAAGTCCGGAAGAGGTCAAAGGCCTGGGAGGGGCCCCTGCTCTCCAGGGCTCAGCTGTCCGGCTCTCAGGCAAACAGCTTGCATCTCTCAGTGCCTGTGCGGACAGCCATGGAGTGGTGTTAGCTCAATCAGCACATCACACTGGTGGGGATCCAGCCCCTGAGTTGTGTAGGAGGGGCTGGACAGGCGGTGGTTCCTCTGCAGGTAGGGTCTCAGGACCCAGGTGTGGGCGGCAAGCCACCCAGGTGCCGAGGCAAGAGATCGAGGGCGCGAGTTGTTCCGGTATAATAAAATATACAAAATAATAGTTATACTAGATATAGATAATAGATATGATTATATATGAATATCATTAATCATTAGTCTATAGCAATTACTCTTTAATATTATAATAATCCTTGCTCCACAATCATAACCTAGGAAAAACCAGGCCATACAGAGATAGGAACTGAGGGGACATAGTGAGAAGTGACCAGAAGACAGGAGTGCCAGCTTTCTGTTATGCCCGGGCAGGGCCACCAGAGGGCTCCTTGGTCTAGTGGTAACGCCAGAGTCTGGCGTTACCAAGTGGACGGCGTTACCAAGTGGGCTATGGTCTAGTGGTAGAGTCAGTGTCAAGGAAAAGCACCCGCTACTTAGCAGACCAGGAAAGACCAGGAAAGACTCCCTTTCCCGGGAGGAGTTCAGAAAAGACTCTACTCCTCCACCTTTTGTGGATAACGCCCACAGTTATCCAGAGGCCTAACCATCTCCATGTGATGCTGTGTTTCAGTGGTCACACTCCTAGTCTGCCTTCATGTTCCATCCTGTACACCTGGCTCTGCCTTTTAGATAATAGTAGCAAATTAGTGAAAGGACTAAAAGTCTCTGATACGCAGAAATAATGGCGTAAGCTGTCTCTCTCTCTCTCCTCTCTCTCTCTGCCTCAGCTGCCAAACAGGGAAGGGCCCGCTCTCCAGTGGACATGTGACTCGTGACCTTACCTATCATTGAGATGGCTCTCACTCCTTACCCTGCCCCTTTGTCTTGTATCCAATAAATATCAGCGCAGCCAGGCATTCGGGGCCACTACCGGTCTCCACGTCTTGGTGGTAGTGGTTGCCCAGGTCCAGCTGTCTTTTCTTTTATCTCTTTGTCTTGTGTCTTTATTTCTACAATCTCTCATCTCTGCACATGGGGAGAAAATCCCACCGACCCTGTGGGGCTGGACCCTACACCCAGGCTTGGGGACAGTCCCTCAACCACATCCTATGGAGCACTGGTGAGATTCTGGGACCGGTTATGAAAAGTCTGGTTGGGCTGCCTTTGGGAGATAACTCAAGGGCAGTGATGCCACAGAGATGGTGCTGGGTTTCAATCATGGTTCAGCCCCTCATTGGATGTGAGAGCTCCCACAGTTCCCTTTCGAAGCATTAGGTCCCCCGTCTATAAACTGGGGTGAGGGCTGGGCATGGTAGTTCCTGCTTGTAATCTCAGTACTTTGGGAGGCTGAGGCAGGCGGATCCCCCGATGTCAGGAGTTCCAGGTCAGCCTGACCAACATGTTTGAAGGGGGCCTGCCCCTCCACACCTGTGGGTATTTCTCATCAGGTGGAGATGACAAACTGAGAAAAGAAATAAGACACAGGCCGGGCGCGGTGGCTCACGCCTGTAATCCCAGCACTTTGGGAGGCCGAGGCGGGTGGATCACAAGGTCAGTAGATCGAGACCATGGTGAAACCCCGTCTCTACTAAAAAATAGAAAAAAAATTAGCCGGGCGCAGTGGCGGGCGCCTGTAGTCCCAGCTACTCCGGAGGCTGAGGCAGGAGAATGGCGTGAACCCGGGAGGCGGAGCTTGCAGTGAGCCGAGATTGCGCCACTGCACTCCAGCCTGGGCGACAGAGCGAGACTCCGTCTCAAAAAAAAAAAAAAGAAAAACAAAAAAGAAATAAGACACAGAGACAAAGTACAGAGAAAGAACAGTGGGCCCAGGGGACCAGCACACTCAGTGTGCGAGGACCTGCACTGGCACTGGTCTCTGAGTTCCCTCAGTATTTATTGATTACTATTTTCACTACCTCTGCAAGGGGAGTGTGGCAGGAGAATCGGGTGATAGTGGGGAGGAGGTCAGCAGGGAAACACGTGAGTAAAGAAATCTGCATCAGAAATAAGTTCAAGGGAAGGTGCTGTGCCCGGATGTACACAAAGGCTAGATTTATGTTTCTCTTTACCCAAACATCTCAGTGTAGCAAAGGGTAACAGAGCAGTATCACCGCTAGCATATCTCACCTCCAGCCATAGGGCAGTTTTATCCTATCTCAGAATAGAATGAATGGTCGGCTTTGCACCGAGACATTCCATTCCCAGGGACATGCCGGAAACAGAGGCTGTCCTCTTGTCTCAACCACAAAGGGGCCTTCCTCTTTTACTAATTCTCCTCAGCACAGACCCTTTATGGGTGTTGGGCTGGGGGACGGTAAGGTCTTTCCCTTCCCACGAGGCCATATCTCAGGCTGTCTCAGTAGTGGGGACAATACCCAGGCTTTCTTGGGCAGAGGTCCCTGCGGCTTTCCACAGTGCCTCATGTCCCTGGTTAATAGAGAATGGAGAATGGCGATGACTTTTACCAAGCATACTGCCTGCAAACATATTGCTAACAAGGCACATCCTGCACAGCCCTAAATCCCTTAAATCTTAATTCAATACAGTGCATGTTTCTGTGAGCACAGGGTTGGAACTAAAGTTACAGGTTAACAGCATCTCAAAGCAGAACAATTTTTCTTAGTACAGATCAAAATGGAGTTTCTTTCTTTTTTTTTTTTTTTTTTTTTGAGACGGAGTCTCGCTCTGTCACCCAGGCTGGAGTGCAGTGGCCTGATCTCAGCTCACTGCAAGCTCTGACTCCCAGGTTTACGCCATTCTCCTGCCTCAGCCTCCCGAGTAGCTGGGACTACAGGCGCCCACCACCTCGCCCGGCTAGTTTTTTGTATTTTTTAGTAGAGACGGGGTTTCACCGTATTAGCCAGGATGGTCTCGATCTCCTGACCTCGTGATCCGCCTGTCTCGGCCTCCCAAAGTGCTGGGATTGAGTTGAGCCACAGCACCCGGCCCTTTTTTTTTGAGACGGAGTCTCACTCTGTTGCCCAGGCTGGAGTGCAGTGGCCTCCGCCAGCTGAAGGCTCTTTTTTTTGAGACGGAGTCTCACTCTGTTGCCCAGGCTGGAGTGCAGTGGCGCGATCTCCGCCAGCTGAAGGCTCCACCTCTCGGGTTCAGGCCATTCTCCTGTCTCAGCCTCCAGAGTAGCTGGGACTACAGGCGCCCGCCACCATGCCCATCTAATTTTTTTTGTATTTCAGTAGAGATGGAGTTTCAGCGCATTAGCCAGGATGGTCTCGATCTCCTGACCTCGTGATCCGCCCACCTCAGCCTCCCAAAGTGCTGGGATTACAGGCGTGAGCCACTGCGCCCGGCCAAAATGGAATTTCTTATGTCTTCCTTTTCTACATAGACACAGTAACAGTCTGATCTCTCTTCCTTTCCCCCACATATGTGTGGGCGGAGGATTACCTAGGTGCTGAGGCAAGAGACTGAATGCACAAACTGTTTCAGTATAAAAAAGAAAATAGAATAAGAATAGTCATAATACAAATTAGATATAGAGATGATCATAGACAATTATCAATCATTATTATAAGCGTTATTAATCATTAGCTTTTAATATTACTCTTTGTTGAATTACTAATATAACTTAGGAATAAACGGCGGGTATAGGGTCAAGTGCTGAAGGGACATTGTGAGAAGTGACCTATAAGGCAAGAGGTGAGCCTTCTGTCACACCCGCATAAGGGCCACTTGAGGGCTCTTTGGTCAAGCGGTAACGCCAGTGTCTGTGAAGGCCCCCGTTACTTAGCAGACAGCGAAAGGGAGTCTCCTTTCCTTGGAGGAGTCAGGGAACACTCTGCTGCACCAGCTTCTGGTGGAAGGCTGGATATTATCCAGGCCTGCCCGCAGTCATCCGGAGGCCTAAACCCCTCCCTGTGGTGCTGTGCTTCAGTGGTCACGATCCTTGTCCACTTTCATGCTCCTCCCATACTCCTGGTTCCTCTTTGAAGCTCGTAGTAGATAGCGGTAGAAGGAATAGTGAAAGTCTTAAAGTCTTTGATCTTTCTTATGAGTGCAGAGAAGAAAACACTGACGAATGCTGCCTTCTCTCTCTGCTTCGGCTACCCAAAAGGAGAGGGCCCTCTATCCTGTAATCACGTGACTTGCTTCACTTTGTCAATCACTCACAAGATTCACCCTCCTTACCCTGCCCCCTTGTCTTGTATGCAATAAATACCAGTGAGTCCAGCCATTCGGGGTCGCTACCGGTCTCCGCATCTTGATGGTAGTGGTCCCCTGGGCCCAGCTGTTTTCTCTTTATCTCTTTGTCTTGTGTCTTTATTTATTACAATCTCTCATCTCCACACATGGGGAGAACACCTGCTAAGCCCCATAAGGCTGGACCCTACATCTGGCGCTCCAACGTGGGTTTCTCCCTTGCTCTGTGAAGTTGCGCTTTGAGCCGGGGACTCAGCGGAGGACTTTCGACCACAGATTCCTGAGGATTGCAGTCAGTGAGCTTGGTCGTAAGCTTGGGCACTCAAGAGTATCCCGGGGACACCATGGGACAAGCCAGTACTAAGTACTCGGCTTATTTAAACTTTATAAAAATCCTCCTGTATTATCTCAATACAGGGCTGTCCCTGTTCAGCCCTGCTGTGGAGCTCTCAACCTTCCGCCTCTTCGGCCCCGATCCCTCTGAAGCCTAGTTTTTCATTTTTCACGCCTGTTTCTCTTTTGGAAACTCAGGCTCCCTTGAAGCCTGGTTCTCTTTAGACAAATCAGGCTCCCTTGAAGCCTGGGTGTCTCTCAGAAAATCAGCCTCCCTTGAAGCCTGGGTCTCTCTCCATAAATCAGGCTCTCTTGAAGCTTGGGTCTCTTTCGACAAATCCAGCTCCCTTGAAGAAGCCTCAGGCTCCCTTGAAGCCTGGTCCGCAGTTATCGTGGCAGCCTGGACTTCAGGCCCATGAAAGATCTGCTCAGCAGGTAATCTCGTCTCATCCTGGTTTACAGGTTCTCAACTCTTTCTCCATTCAAAATTCCAACCTTTTTTCTGCTTTTGATCCAGTGGCTACTACGATTGCCACCACTACCCTTGCCGCTCACAAGCAACAAGTTACATACGTTCCTCAAAATGACACTCCTCTTATGAGAGCTATAACACAGGCAAGAGAATACGGGGATCCTGAAGCCTGGCAATTTCCTGTAATTTTATAACCTCCAATACCTGCCATCCCTGCGACACAAAATCAGCCACAGCCCGCTGATCTTGCTCAGCAGACCGCTGATCTCGCGGCACCTTCACGCTCCGTGTTAATATCTTGTTTTTCTGCAGTACAACAGCAGTTGCAACAGCCGGTTTGGTTATAGCTCCAGAAGAAAATCCAGACTTCTTCTCCTTATCACTATTTAGGAATGCAGCTAGAAGACAAGGTTATTAAGCCCCCAAAAATCATTGTTCCCCTCACCCAATTACAAGTCCAACAGGTTTTTGCAACCTACATTCCTCGGCAAGTACATTTGGCAGGTTTCCCAGGTATAATAGATAATCATGATCCCCATGTAGAACTATTACAGTTCCTTAAATTCACTTCTTGGATCTTACCTAACATTACTAGAAACACCCCATTAGCTGAAGTTGTCACTGTTTTTATTGATGCTTCCTGTAATGGCCGCGTAGCATATACAGGACCTGTGTTCTCAACACAGGAGCTATTTTAGCACAACAGCTGAGCTGATTACTGTCATGGCTGTTCTTGAAGATTTCCCTGAACCAGTTAACATTGTTTCTGATTCTGCGTATGTAGTTAAGTGTTGCTCACAACATTGAAACTGCCTTAATCAAATTTCTGCCTGATGATAACCTACTTTTTCTTTTCCAAGGGTCTCAGTCTGTACTCAGAGCAAAGTCTTCTCCTTTCTACATTACTCGCGTTCGGGCTCACATACCCCTCCCCGGATCCCTCTTGGCAGCAAATGCCTGAGCTGCCGTTGCAGCTTCCGTTTTTACAGATGCAGAAAATTTTAATGTTTTAACTCATGTCAATGCTGCGGGACTCAGGAAAAAGTTCCCCCTTACATAGAAACAAACTAAAACCATTGTACGTCACTGTCCTACTTGTCAAGTGTTAATGTTACAGCCGCTTACCATCGGGAATTAATCCTCGAGGCCTTTCCCCCAACGCACACTGACAAATGGATGTAACCCACTTTCCAGCTTTTGGGAGACTTTCTTTTGTACATGTAACAGTGGACACCTGCCGGGCGCGGTGGCTCAAGCCTGTAATCCCAGCACTTTGGGAGGCCGAGACGGGCGGATCACGAGGTCAGGAGATCGAGACCATCCTGGCTAACACGGTGAAACCCCGTCTCTACTAAAAAGACACAAAAAAGTAGCCGGGCGAGGTGGCGGGCGCCTGTAGTCCCCGCTACTCGGGAGGCTGAGGCAGGAGAATGGCGTAAACCCGGGAGGCGGAGCTTGCAGTGAGCCGAGATCCGGCAGCCACTGCACTCCAGCCCGGGTGACAGAGCCAGACTCCGTCTCAAAAAAAAAAAAAAAAAAAAACAGTGGACACCTTTTCCCACTTCATCTGGGCTACGTGCCAAACAGGAGAAGGTACTGCTCATGTTAAACGACACATGCTTTCCTGTCTCTCAGTTATGGACTGCCCCATTAAGCTTAAAACTGATAATGGTCCCGGCTATACTATCATTGCCTTTAAAAAGTTCACTCAAGCATGGGGCATTAATCACACTACTGGAATTCCCTGTAATTCTCAAGGACAAGCACTGGTGGAACAAGCTAATAAATCTCTCAAAGACCAGCTTCGCAAACAAGATAACAAAAAGAAAGGGGATGTCAGTACTCCCCGTGCACAGTTAAATTTTGCTCTGTTCAGATTAAATTTTTTAAATCTGGCTAAAACCCAGCTTTTCACAGCAGCAGAACAACACTTTACTGGTAATAAATTTGACCCACGAAAAGGCAAGAGAGTATGGTGGAAGGACATAACAACTAATAACTAAATGGGAACATAACAACTAAATGGGAATTAGGCACTGTAATAACATGGGGTGGGGGTTTTGCTTGTGTCTCCCCAGGAAAGGACCAACAAGCTGTTTGGCTTCCCTCCAGTCAGTTGAAATTGTACCATGACTCCAGCCTTGAAGAACCGTCAGAAACAAAAGGCAAACAACCGCCAGAAATCGAAGCGCAAGGCTCGTCGCCTGACTAATAAAATTTGTAATCTTAACTTCGCATCACAGCGTCGCCCCACAACTCCCGATACAAAAAATTCCACCCTACTGACGTGGGGTCAGATAAAAGTAATTTCCAAAGAGGTTGAGAGACACCTACAGGACAAAGTGATTCCAAAAACTACAGATAATATTATCTTGGCTGCCTTTAGGGTAGTTACTGCAGTGGTAAGTATACCTGGGGCTGTAGCAACTCAAAATTATACCTACTGGGCATATGTCCCGTTTCCCCCTCTTATTGGATATGTTTCATGGATGGATTCCTCAGTGGAGGTTTATACTAATGACAGTGCATTCATGCTGGTCCCTAATGATGACAGATTTCCAGCTCAACCAGATGAAGAAGGAATGCCTTTTAATGTGTCCATTGGATATAGATTTCCACCATTGTGCATAGGAATTGCACCTGGCTGTTTGGCATGCTCTAATCAAAACTGGATGTGGACTGCAGGCCTCTAGTAATGATTCTTATCAGGTGCATGAGTTTTCAGCAGTAATTCTTTTCAGGTCCTGACTATTAAAATAAATTCATTTGAGGAACAGAGAATTCTTGTCTCAATAAAAAACAATGAAACACAAGAATTGCCACACTGTTTAAAAGACACTATAAAGGGAGCTTTAATAATTCAAAATATTCTATGGAGTTATTGCAATGCTCCAAAAGCAGCAGTGCTACAGAGTCCCACCACAGGTATTGCCATTGACTGGGCCCCAAAAGAGTATTATTGACGAGATTGCTCTGGCCAAAATACCCAATGTTCAGAGTTTATTGATTATGAAGAAGAAGGCTGGCACTCCTATAAAAAGAAGGAATGGGTGTCTCCTTACCCGTTCAAATGGTTGGACAAGGGCATCGTTCCTCCTAGACCAAAAATGATTCATCCTGTAGTTACCCCAGAACATCCTGAATTGTGGAGGTTGGCTGCAGCCATGTCCAGAATTAGATTATGGAATGCAGCTTATCAAAAAATTCTTGCAAATACCAAAACAAACATGTATAAGATCACTTTAATGTCTGATAGGATGGTACCCATGAGGAGCTGTGTTAAACCACCATATATGTTATTGGTTGGAAACATGATTATCATCCCTGATAGTCAAACTATTGAATGCAATAATTGCAAATTGTTTATGTATATTGATGCTACATTTGATCCAAAAACAAGTGTTCTCCTGGTCAGAGTCAGAGAAGAGGTATGGATACCAGTTTCTTTACACTGCCCCTGGGAATCTTCTCCCTTCTATTCATATAGTCAATGAAGCCCTAAAAGGAATCCTTAAAATAACTAGGAGATTCATTTTTACACTCATTGCTGTGATTGCAGATTTAATTGCTGTTACCCTTTCACACTATGAATAAAGTCAGTTTCCTCCCTTGGCTTCCAGGGCCCCGCCCACCTATTCCTATTTCCTCTCTCGCCAGAACTGCCGTACAGAACAAAGCTTTCGGTTTAAGCAGACATTGCCCACATTTGTTTCAGATTGTCCCAAGCTATTGTGTTGTGTTAAATGATGAGTGTGTTTTTGCCTGAAACTGTAATGTCAAAATATCACATCTGGCTAGGCGCAGTGGCTCACACCTGTAATCCCTGGGAGGCTGAGGCAGGCAGATCACTTGAGGTCAAGAGTTCAAGACCAGCCTGATCAACATGACAAAACACTGTCTCTAGTAAAAATACAAAAATTAGCTGAGCATGGTGGCATGCACCTGTAGTCCCAGCTACTCAGGAGGCTGAGACAGGAGAATCACTTGAACCCAGGAGACGGAGGTTGCAGTGAGCCAAGATTGCACCACTGTACTCCAGCCTGGTTAACAGAGTGAGACTCCATCTCAAAAATAAAAATAAAAATAAAAATTCATGTCTAATAGTGAATTTACTTAGTGTGTTTCTCAGTGAGAAAAAGAAGTTAGCTGGCTGTGATGGCTCACGCCTGTACTCCCAGAACTTTGGGAGGCTGAGGCAGGAGGAGCACTTGAGCCCAGGAGTTTGAGACTAGCCTGGCCAACATAGGGAGACCCCATTTCTACAAAAAATACAAACATTAGCCAGGCGTGGTGGCAGTTACTCAGGAGGCTGAGGTGGGAGGATTACTTGAGCCTGGGAGGTCAAGGATGCAGTGAGCTGTGATCACGGCACTGCACTCCAGCCTGGACAACAGAGCAAGACAGCAAGACCCTGATCAACAACAACAAAAAAGAGGGCCGGGTACAGTGGCTTGCATCTGTAATTTCAGCACTTTCTTTCTTTTTTTTTTTTTTTTGAGACGGAGTCTCACTCTGTCGCTCAGGCTGGAGTGCAGTGGCACGATCTCGGCTCACTGCAAGCTCCGCCTCCCAAGTTCACACCATTCTCCTGCCTCAGCCTCCTGAGTAGCTGGGTCTGCAGGTGCCCGCCACCATGCCCAGCTAATTTTTTTGTATTTTTAGTAGAGACGGGGTTTCACCGTGTTAGCCAGGATGGTCTCGATCTCCTGACCTTGTGATCCACCTGCCTCGGCCTCCCAAAGTGCTGGGATTACAGGCGTGAGCCACTGCGCCCGGCCAATCCCAGCACTTTCAATTTGGGAGACTGAGGTGGGTGGATAGCTTGAGCCCAGGAGCCTGAGACCAGCCTGAGCAACATAGCAAGACCCTGTTTCTACCAAGAAATAGAAAAACTTAGCAGCACATGGTGGTGCGTGCCTGTAAGCCTGGGCAACAGAGCAAGACTCTGTCTGGGAAAAAAAAAAAAAAAAGAAAGGATAGAGGAGTAGGGAACCATTATATGCAAAAAGGAGTCACGTCCAAAACATGGCGTAACTGGGTGAGAGGCGTGCGGTGATGCGGGTTAAGTGTGTAGCAACGCCTGGGGGCTGCATCTAGGCCTTTCGCACCCACATGTGTGTACACACAGGTCTTCTCAGGAGGGTATTGTCCTTGTCATTCAGCTGAGTAAACTAGGGCCTGGTCTCAGGTCACAGGGTTAGCGTTGTCGCAGCAGGGATGAGACCAGAAACCAGCAGGCAGGACTCCAGGAGGCTCAGAGAACATTCCAGAGGTGAACAAGGCTCAGGCAGCCCAGCCAGGCAGAGGGCGGTCAGGGAGGGGGCTGCTGAATTGGGCCTTGCAGGAGGAGTGGGCTTTACGTTGGGGAGGTGTGGGGAAAAGAAAGAGATCAGCCTGTTACTGTGTCTATATAGAAAGAAGTAGACATAAGAGACTCCATTTTGTTCTGTATTTGAGATGCTGTTAATCTGTGACCCTACCCCCAACCTTGTCCTTGCAAGAGACATGTGCTGTGGTGACTCAAGGTTTAATGGATTTTGGGCGTGCAGGGTGTGTCTTTGTTCCTAGAAAAGCTAGGTATTGTCCAAGGTTTATCCCCACGTGATAGGATGAAACAATGCTGCTAAAAGGTTTATCTCTAGGCACAGGATTTTCCTTTAAACTTATTCATGTCACAGAGATCCTTGTTCTTATGTCTTACTGCTGATTTCCTCCCCAAAAACGATCCTATTGTCCTGCCACTCCCTTATCTTTAAGATGGTAAAGATAATTATCTATAAATACTAAGGGAACTCAGAGGCCGGCGTGGGTCCTCTGTAAGCTGAGCGCGGTCCCCTGGGCCCCGCTTCTCTTTCTCTATACTTTGTCTCTGTGTCTTATTTCTTTTCTCAAGTCTCTCGTTCCATCTAACGAGAAACACCCACAGGTGTGGAGGGGCAGGCCACCCCTTCAGGGAGGAAGGAGGGAAAATGTTCCCAAAAGGGGGAAAGGCATAAGGGAAGGCCCAAGATGGGACAGGGAGGGAATGAGTGGGGAGCAGGTGGTTCCTTTAGGGGAAGAAAGGGACGCCAGCGAAGCAAGGGTGTCAGAGGCAGGATGACGGCAGGCGAGGGGGCCCCAGGTGGAAACTGAACGGGAACCCTGGGTGCCGGGGAGGCAATGGAGGTGGATGGCAGGGGAAGGTCTTGATAAGCTCAGCGGGTCTGGAGGACACTCTGGTGGCAGCAACCCCAGGGAGAGGACGTGGAGGGCAGCCTAGTGCCGGGGCCACAGCAGGCAGGGCAGGGGACCCACGGCTGAGGTGAGTGGGGCCTGCAGGACTTCCTGGCTGGAGATGCCACCAGGAGAATGAGCCATTGGGGCCATCCCCTTGGAGAGGTTCCCACCCAGAGTTGAAATGGGGGTTTGAGACTCTCCAGGGAGGAGACGTCACACATCAGAGCTCCTGATGGGGCAGGGAAAAGGGCATATGAAGTTCCAGAGGCCCCTTCTCTGAGAGGCCTTCCCTGGCCACACCCCTCCTGACACCCCATCAGTATCCCTGCCTCCTCTCCTCCCAGCTCTGGGACCTGGGACACAAGGACAGAAACTCGCTTTGTTTCCTCCTCATCCCTCCAGATGCTGGCTCCATGAGGGCACAGACCCTTACAGGCTGTTTCATGCACTGTGCCCAGCACAGTATTTGCTGAACAAATGAACGAAGGAATGAAGGAGTGAATGCATACATGGAACTGCACTGGAGGGGCAAGAGAAACAACAGAGGCCAAAGCAGACCAGACTACATGAAGAAGCCAGAAAGGCCCTCCCAGCGCCTCCTGCACAGGGGCCCCAGGCATCTAACACACTCCGATGCCGCCTTCCGGATGGTCACTCACAGCTGGCCGGTAGAGCCAAGGCCACTCCTGAGCTATAGCCTGAGCTGTAACTTGTCCATTCCAAGCGCCCGCCGACATCTTCACTTAGCCTCAGGCCTCTCACTCAACTCAGCATCCAAAACTCACCTGGTTGCCTTCCCCTGCCCGCTTCACCTCCCAACCTCTCTCTGTCTGAGGGGATGCAGCTCCATTCCCTAGAGCCCTGAAGGCAGAATCAGGAGGCCTTCCTTAAAACCGTTCCCTCTCTCAGTATCTAGCTGGGTACCTGCACCTGTTAAAGAGACCTGCTGCCTCCATGCGCTGGTCTCCAGACCTCTAGGCCTGCCTTGCCCCCACCTTGTAGCCAGAATCATCA